CATCTTGCATAATCAACCACAATGTTGGACAAATACAGGGTTGCCCATATTCGACGGACCCATCTGACGACGCCATAACTTTTGACAGAGATGCCAGATCGCTTAATGACATACCGCGTTTGAAGCGTCAGTCCAAGCAGATTTTTACCATGGAACAATACACGCCACGCGAGAGTCATCGAAATGGCCGAAGATGACGATCAATTTTGGAAAAAAACTATCATGTCCGATGAAGCCCATTTCACATTGAATGGGACCGTAAATAAGCAAAAAAAAGCCACCGCGTTCGCCCGATTTGACGCCGCCTGACTTCTTCTTGTGGGGATATTTGAAGTCTAAGGTTTACGTTAACAAGCCAAGGGCCCTAGCAGAGCTCAAGGACAACATTCGTGAAGAAATAGCCGCTATTCCGGCCGAAATGTTGGCGAAAACGATGGAAAATGCTGCAAAAAGGGCACAATACGCCATCAACGCCAGAGGCGGCCATTTGAAAGATATCATATTCAAAAATTGATGTAAACAAATGTTCCAAGTAGACAAATTAAATGATTAAGATTGCCAACCGCCAAATTTTTATTTTTTTCTTTGATTTTAAAAAAAAAAACATGGGTCCGTCGAATATGGGCAACCCTGTAAGTTGCGTATTGTCTTCGAGGCCTCAGCAAAAACGACTTAGAATCTGTCTCTCCAACAACAGCAGATTTGGAGCTGTTCAAGCGAAATTTTAGCGGTGAGAGTAAATATCTAAAAGAATAATAATTCAAAATGAATGGCAAAGAAGTGACAACGGCCTTGGAAATGTCACGAAAGCCTCAAACGGATATATTTTGCTTCTTCTTTGAACTTTCGAAATCCGAAGCGACCTCCAAGGGGGAATTATTTCCATTATTGCAAGTTTGACCTCCTCGGACTCCAATCATTATTAGGTAAAACATTTTTGTACAAGTACTTTGGAGGACTAATCTTGAGTGGAAAGAGCCACTGCCTACGCGGAAAGCTGGCAGCCAATCGAACCGGATTTACACATGTTAAGCCACATTCTGTTTCCAAGAATCATCTATTTCTGGAGTGCGAGATACGCGCAGACGCCTCAGAGCTTGCGTATGGGTGCACCTATTCAGACTATCTAACTGCCAAGACTTGCTTCTTTGCGAAACATGAAATAAAATTAAGCTTATCATAGCCAAGAAGGTAACATTTTGGTCAGATTCAACAATTGTCATGCACTGGCTTACAATGCACACATCCCAGCTTAAGTGTTTTGTAGTCAATCGGATGTCAACGATTGAATGTCCGCGAACATTTAACGGTGAGTTGTTCCGAGTAAGGAGAATCTACCGGATTTCGTACTGCAAAAATGAGCAGCAACAGATCTTCAAACAACAATTCAATGACGACACCTGGTCAAAGGAAAATTCTGTCCAACTCAGCGAATAATTCATTAGAATTGCGTAAAATGGATTCGGATTCGTGGAAAAGTTCCATACAAAAATTATATGGCCGTATTTGTCTGCTTGCTACCAAAGCAGTTCATGTTGAACTCTCCACTAATACCTTTGTCTTATGTTTATAGCTCTTATTTATTTATTTCGCCAACGGTATTCACTCCTTAAGTGGCTACTTCTATATTTATACCCTTGCAGAGGGTATTATAATTTCAGTCAGAAGTTTGCAACGCAGTGAAGGAGACATCTCCGACCCTGTAAAGTATATATATTCTTGATCAGCATCACTAGGAGAGTCGATCTAGCCATGTCCGTCTGTCCGTCCGTTTCTACGCAAACTAGTCTCTCAGTTATAAAGATATCTGCATGAAACTTTCCCAAAAGTTGTTTTTATATTGGTAGTATATAAGTCGGATCGAGCCGGATCGGACGACTATAGCATACAACTACCATAGGAACAATCGGACAAAAAAAATTAAATTTGGTGTTTTTTAATTTTTTTTTAGTTTTTCTAGATAACCATTACTAGTTAAATATTTCAGAATTACGGTTTAAATTTCATCAAAATCGGACGACTAGCATATAGCTCCCATAGGAACAATCGGAAAAATAAATAAAAAAAATTATAACTTTGGTGTTTTTTAATTTTTTTATTAGTTCTCCGAGGCATTGTAATGGTTATATATTTCAGAATTACGGTTTAAATTTCATCAAAATCGGATCACCATAATCTAAAGCTCCCATGGGAACAATAAAAATATTAAATAAAATTTTTTTTTAATTTAACTTTCTCATTTTGTAATTTTTTTTAGAAATTCTTTATGATTAATTTATAGTTTGACATTTCAGAATAACGCTTTTAATTTTATTAAAATCGGAAAACGATATCATATAGCTGTCATAGGAACTATCAAATAAGCTTTTAATAGCTTCAATGTAAACATACACGCAAGTCTATCATAATTTTAATGTTTTCAAGAATATTTAATTTTTGCAATAGCTGCAATTTTTGCAACTTCAGCTTGCCGAAGTTTGGTTCCTGTATTGTTAAGATTATGCTTACGCACTAACATTGAAAAAAATAATCGACCAATTTATGTTTGAGATCAGACTTGCTTTAACAATAATAAAGTGCGAAGTTTATTGCACTCACACTAGACTCTATAAAGTGGCTCGTTTTGGGAGTAATTAATCCTGCGTAACTCAACAATTAAGGGAGCCAATTCTCGGAGGTTCCAAGCAGGAGCATTAAAGCCTACTTTTGACAGAAGTTCTTGACAGTCAATGATTTCACCCACCAGGTCGGCGATGAAACAGATGGAGACAATTCTTCTGCTACTGGCAAGTGTGACAACTTAAGGGTGAGAGAGCGAATTTTAGAAAGTTTTTCTGTAGCCTTTCTATTCTATTTATATGGATATTGGCTGAGGGATTCTAGATAAAAGCCGTGTACTCTATTTAAGAGCGCTCAAAATGTTGAGTAGAGCGCTAACCTCGTATAGGGATGCATGAAAAGCGCTGAGTTCCGCTTTACAAACCCAAACATAGCGTACACTTTATGCATGATATAGTCAAAGTGCGCTGAGGAATTAAATATGGAATAAAACATTACACCCAGATCTAGGGATTCTTGTTGAACATTTAAGGGCTGACCAGCAATACTGTATGTGGTTATAAGATTGTATACGCATTAACTGTAGCTAACATACAAGCATGTAATCATGTTTAGCGGAAGAAATTTTTCCATGAACTCAAGGAATATAAGTCTAACTTCAGTGATAGTGAGTCTGCTGGAGTTTCGACTTCTTTGAAAATTTTTAAGTCATCTGCATAGAGGAGACACTGAAAAAATTTTGAACGGCACATTATTTATAAAAATTATGAAAAGCAGTGGTCCTACATCACTATCCTGCGGAAGGCCAGATCTTGCCAATTATGGTTCCGAAAATGTTCCATAAGTGTTCACTTTTTAGCTACGATGGTTTAGGTATGATCTTATCCAGTTTAATATTGCTGAGTGTATGCTCAACTGAGAAAATTTTGCCAACAAGGCACCGTGGCAAACTTAATCGAAAGATTTAGCGAAATCCGTGTATATGGTATCAACTTGGCAATGCTTATTAAAAGCTTGAATGCAATAGTTGCTGAACACTGCCAGGCTTGTCGTGGTTGACGGCCATGTTGACAGTTGCTTGTGTACCTTTGTAGAATAAGCGAATGTTTGTACGCTCAAATAGCTTAGAAATATTACTAATTTTAGCAGTAGGACCCAATCACACTTTAGGCTAGAATATTCCTTAAAAGTGCTTCTAGAACCGGGCTCGGAAACCTCACAATCAGACTCCCGGAGGGACTATATCACACGTTGCAACTCCGCAGCAAATGCTTGACGCCGCAAGCCAACATCACGCATGGACAACTAATAACCATCCACGATAGCAACACTCCACCTCAGCAGAGGCTTTTTGGCCGAATGTTAAACACTTCTGCTGGAGCATATGGATGAGTCAGAGTTTCTCGATTTAAAAACGATGAAGGGAGTCACTCGCCGTCCCATTTGCAAAATATATTTCGCCAGCGGCTCAGTCCTGAATTGGGTACTTATATATAGAATATTATTCTTACGCACTAAAATTAAAAAAAAAATAATCGATCCACCTATGTTTGAGATCGGATTTACTTGACAGTTTTTTTTATCACATGTACGTTTGAAGGCTCTATAAAGCGGCTCGGTTTGAGAGCAATTGGTCTTGCGTAACTCAACAAAAAAGGGTGCAAGAGAGCGGATTTCAAAAAGTTTTTCTGTAGAATTTCTATTCTATTTGTATTTATAATGGCTGGGAGATTTCAAATAACAGCCATGCGGCTTAGATAGTACAATTGTGGAATATTATTGTTAAAGCATTTAGGATGATTTGAAATATATATGCAAACAAGATCCACTTTACTGTAACTGAAACGAGCTTGCACGCTCGTCACTGACCTGAAACCTTGTATACAGCACCGAAAATAGTTCAATACAAATCTTGGTTGATCTCTGTATCTGTTTCAAGGCGATACAATTACGTTTTCCGATTTGAAATAAACCGCGGTGCTGTTGCTGCTCTGCCGAGATGGCCTTAGGGAAGGGTCATTTAAAATGGCTTGGTTGTTTGGTCCCTTCAGAATGTTCCAGTTTTCGGCGGGGGAATTTTTGATCTGGGTGCATTCTGTTGACAATGGCCAAGTGAAGCTGCCTGTGTAGACCAAAAGCTGAAATTCTTTGTTTAAGCGGGACTAAGGAGGACGATTCAAAAATTATATTTGTTTAGTCGAATCACAAAATTCGATATCAGGCATTTTATATGTTAAAATTCGAAATCGGCGGTGGAGTAAATAGCAACGCTGGTTTGTCCTGACCTCCTGCTTAATTTAATCTAACTGTTGATTTTGGTATTAAATAAGAGAAATGAGGTGGCAATCAAAACAATTCCAAGCTTTCTTAGTTAGCAATTAAATCGTTGAGTTTTCTTGTAAATTGAATATTGAATTCTTTGTTTTTTTTTGACATTTAAGCAAAGGACAATCTTTTTGTGGACCTTCGACAAATTCTTCAAGCCCCGCTTCATTGTCGCTTATAAATGTGCCAGATCTAAAGGAGGTATGTATTATGGCAAAATTATTTGTATAACTGTAAACCAAAATGTATTCTTCTAGGACCAAATATCTAATGAACCAGCAAAATCGTCCGGAACTGGAATACAGTGGGTTAATTCCGTAAATGTAGCTGAATTTCGAAGCTTAGTTAAAACTCTTGTTGGTGGAGTTAAAACAATTACATGGGGTTTTTTCAACTCTAAGGTATGTTTTTTTTTTTTTTTTAATTTAAAGCCTTAACATTATTTATAAATTCTTAAAAAGTTTCAGATTTCTGATACGGGCCTTCCTAATCACGAAAAGCTGTTTAGTCCTGACATTTTACACTCATATATTGACTTGGTCCATTATGCGATGGAGGCTTTAGATATTTATACTATAAACGTTAATCCAAATCAACAGAGAACCTCTGGATTGATATCGAGAAGTAAAGAAGAAAAAGAAGTATTAGAACACTTTAGTGGCATAGTAAGTACTAAAAATATTCTTATTTTTTCATGATTGTTATTTTATTGATTCCTTAATAAGATACTTGATGCGCCCAAAAATTATAGTTCAATATTCTTATAGATATTTAAGACTGGTGAAAAGAAAAATCATAAATTAAAAGAAGTGCATGGCAAAATCAAAAAATTATTGTACATTTTCAAGCTCACCCCAGTTTGCTCCTAATAGTCGTTGAGAAAGGTAGTGTGCCCGCTAGTGATCCGATATAAACTTTTTCGCAGTTCGTGCGTTTTTCTTGCACACTAAGTCTATTTTAATTCAAATTTATCAACAATAATCAAGTTCTAAGCTGTGCCGTGTTTGCCCCTCGCCCTGAGCTATGCACCCTGCGCAATCGAGAGGTTGTTAACAACTTATTTTACAGACTTTTTATCGTATTAAGTGAATATCAATTGCATTATCCAACATAGGTATAAAGCCAATATGCTCAATCGCGCCGGCCGCCCAAATTTATCTGCTTTGAACCATTACACCACTTCCAGTGTATCCTGCACTATCTCAAACGTCTATCTAATCCTATCAAATTCATCCGAGTCAGCAACATATCATGAAATAGAGAGTGAGGAATCTGTGGAACTTGACTTTTGTGTTAACAAAAGAGAAAAATAATTTCGGATTACTTTAAAAGTGTGCTAGGCATTTATTATAAAATTTAGTTGCAAGTAGTCTGACTTGACTATCGAGTATTTAGCAAAATCAGACTGTGAGCCGGCCAGTTTAAATAGTTGAAAAAGTCTAGAAACCACGGAGAACTATAAGATGCACAAGCCTTAGAAAGAGGTACATTTCTGTAATAGATAAAGAATTTAATAGCTCCGAATAATTCGTGCTCCTTAAACACAATCTTAGCTGTGGATTTTTTGTGTACTAAATACATATTAAATTCAGACCCTGGAGGTCTATGTGAGCAAGTAACAAGTATGTTGCACTTGGGCAGTACAAGTTTGACAGAAATAATTTTAATATTCAAGGAACCAGGTGTATTAATAAGCTCAGAAGTAAGATTTGATCAGCATCAAAAATAGTTGATATTTTGTAATTTAGAGTTTTTTTTAGAGCGAAATATAACGTTTGACTTCTTATAACAGCTATAGGATATAGTCCGATTTGTCCCGATTTCAAAGCTGATCTGCGTACAACGATAAAAATACGATTGCAAAAGTTTAAATTCTCCAGCTTTAAGCTGAGCTCGCAAACGGTAGGACAGACAGTCAAACGAACATGTCACATCAACTCGTATTGTGATTTTGATCAGGAATTTATATTCTTTATAGGGCATCTTTACTGCGTTACAAACTTCTGACCAATTTTAAAAAAAACTTCTGTAAGAAAATAAGTTGAACATCCTGTAAGGATATTTCTGTGCTGGAGTATCTCAGTCTGCAGAAGATTTTCTACAGATAGAATTTGTAGACGTTCCCCTGTCATAGAGGAAAGGAAGGTTTGTTCTGACTTTAGCACCAGCTTTACAGAACCCGTTATTGGGGCTGACCAAAAAGAAAAACCGATTGCTAATATAAACAAAAAGTTAAACGCTTCACAAAGAAATTACAGTAGTGAGAAAGTGAACCTGGTGCTTGGCTTCTTTATAGCCTAGTTACACTCACGCCTCCTATCGATATCAGAACAGACGCAATTAAGCAGAATAGGCTGTTACACTTGACAGACGTGCTTCATTGCGACTGAACAGCTGTTCTTTGTTTTGATTTGTCAACGAAAATCCTCTCGCGTTTTGTTACTGGCTATTTTTATACTCTTGCAGAGGGTATTATAATTTCTGTCAGAAGTTTGCATCAAACTTTCCCAAAAGTTGTCTTTCTATTGCAGGTAGTACATAAGTCGAATCGAGGCGGATCGGATGACTATAGCATATAGCTCCCATAGGAACAATAAAAAAAAATAAATGAAAATGAATTATAACTTTGCTGTTTTTTAATTTTTTGTTTTGTTCTTCGATATTTAGAAATGGGTAATTATTTCAGAATTACGATTTAAATTTCATCAAAATCGGATGACTATAGCATATAACTCCCATAGGAACAATCGGAAAAATAAATGAAAAGAATTATAACTTTGCTGTTGTTTATTTTTTTGTTTAGTTCTTCGACATTTAGCAATGGTTAAATATTTTAGAATTATGGTTTAAATTTCATCAAAATCGGACGACTATATCATATAGCTCCCATAGAAATAATAAAAATATATAAAATAACTATCGAATAATTAAGCTGCAAATCATCATAGCTTCAATGTTTTTACACGAATACGCAAGTAAATCATAATTTTAATGTTTTCAAGAATATTTAATTAAGCAATAGCTGCAAGGGTATATGAACTTTGCTTAAGTTTGCTTCCTTTCTTGTGTTATATTGTTTTTAGTTTTTCAAGATACAGGAATGGATTATTGTTTTAGAATAAAAAAATAAAAAAAAAATAAAATTTAAAATAATTAAATAATCAAAAAAAAAATTCTAAAAAAAATTACAAAATAAAAAATTTAAATTTAAAAAACATTTTTTTTTATATTTTTGTTGTTCCCGGGGGAACTTTATGTTGTAGTTGTCCGATTTTGTTTAAATTTAAACCGTAATTCTGAAATATTTAATCATTACTATATGTCGAAGAACTAAAAAAAAATTTTAAAACAGCAAAGTTATAATTTCTTTCATATATTTTTTCGAGGAGCTATGCTAAAGTCGTCCGTTTTGATTAAATTAAATCCGCAATTCTAAAATATTTAGCCATTACTTTATGTCGAAGAACTAAAAAAAAATTTAAAAACAGCGAAATTATAATTTTTTTTATTTCTTTTTACGATTGTTTCTATGGGAGGTATACGCTATAGTCGTCCGATCCGGCTCTTTCCGACTTATATAAATTATAAAACCGTTAGATATTTATTTTATATTTTTGTTTATTTTCATACGCCCGTAAGGGCATAGGTATTTTATACAGAGTTATTTCTCTGGAGTAAATTTTTTGATTAAACTAAAGAACCTATCCAACTGCAGTTTGAGGCCTTTGCCTGGCTGCAGCGCTGTCGCCAAGGTGCCGGATCAGCGTTTTGTCCCTGCCCGTGGCGATCACTCGCTCCGCGAGTGCTCTGTTCTGACTCCGGGCACTTGCACCCGGGACGCGCGGTCAGCGGTTTCTTCGCTGCGCGTGCAGGCCACCGGATATGGTCTGCAACTCGGCAGTTTCTTCTTTTGGGAACTGCCTCTGTTAACTTCTCCCCCCTTCAAGTGGTTGACGTCCCGGGGACCCCCTCGTTCCACATCGTTGTCAGTTCTGGGTTTGGTGTGACTTCTGGTCCTTAGATAGCGATAGCCGAGCCAAATGGTGGAACACAGAAAGAAGGTAGCAAGTAGGGCAAAGGAGTTGCTGAGGAAGGACCCCAGTGTAAGTTCTTCTCTGAGGGTCCCGATGTGGTGGAGATTGCTCAGACTCAGCTCGTGAAGAAATGGGAGACTCAGCCGATTCTGGTGGGCCGTGATGTTGGCTATGGCCGTTGCCGACACAGCAGGTTTTCTCATTGAACTTCCCAATTGATTTACGAACCAAGTTCCGTTGAGGGTTACCTTGTCAGAATAGGTTACCAGGTAGGTTCCGGATATTTTTTTCTCTCGCCCTTGGTTGTCGGTTATGGTCACATTGGCATCGTTCACGATGAGGGTGCCATGATCCACAATGGTAACCGGATCCAGGTCACCTGGGAGCGTGGAGCAGTGCGCGATAGCCCCAGAAACTATTTGCTGGGCGCAGGTGCCATTTTGTAGCTCCCTGCAGAAGTTGGCGCCGACCGTCGTTTTGCAATGGCCGATGTTAAGGTTTCGCGCTGGGCATTCGGCGACAAGGTTCCCATCTTCAAAGTCCAAGATTTTTTTCTGGTGCTGAACTGGATAGACTGTTATCTTCTTACATATTAATTTAGGGCTAGGGAGTTTAATGAGAAAATGTAGAATTTCAGAAATTTGAAAAACACTAATACTAGATACCTCTAATAATTCAATTAATCAAACTAACGTCAATAAGCTGCCTGTCCTTGAATTCGCCAATATCGGAACTATCCAAAATTGCTGGACTTACGATGTTTAATATTGCCAGGGTTAAGCCCATTAAAGTGTTTTCTAGATCCGTGATTACAATTCTATTTTTTGCTAGAATAATTTCCAAAAGGTGGGTTTCTTTATCTGTTTCGAATTTATGGATTTGATTCATTGAGTTTGTGAGTTCATTTAGACGTTTCTGTAATTTGATATTTAATTCTGTTTGTCCTTCATCTGTTCTAATTAATTATTCTTGATTGAATTTTTTTTGCTCCCAATCGTTAAAGTCGGGTGTGCCGGCAAAAACTTTTAGTGCTGTCCCGATTAAGTTAATACTCCTAGCGGCTCTATGGTGGATTTTTAAGGTAGTCACCAACTTGCGAATATTTGTAAGGTCTGTCATTATGACTGGTGTCCTGTGATCGTCTGTAAATGTCTTCGTCATTGTTTCCGTCTGGTCGGCGTAGTCTTCATAAGTCGTCACGTTCGTTGAGTGCTGTAGGTATCCGCAGGACTCCCAGATGACAATTTCGTTGTCTTCTATCGGGATGTAGTCTGCGTTCGTGTAGTCATTTAGTTTTACTGTCGCGTCCGTCTTGACAGCCGTATGTACAAAAACTAAGACGAATTTTCCTAACCGAGAAAAATATAAAAATAATAGAAAAAGGGGTTCATTAATCTTGCGGTTAGCGTAGATTGTCCTTGTGGACCTACCTCTCCTCAATTTGGACCGTGGTCCCCAGGTCTGCTTCAATGATTTTTTCCGAACATAGTGGCGAGAGCTTGTTTCCTATGCGTTTGTTTGCGTTTAAGAAAACTTTTTCACCAGCTTGATAGCCCTTTTGGGTCCTATCTTTGTTTACCTGGTCAAGGGATTTTTCTTGAGCCTGTTGGATTCTCTTCCCAATTCTGCTT